CCCCAGTTCAGTGTCACCAGCAGAGTTGCTGAGGGTTCATTCTGTCCCTCTGGGCCATTGATAACCAAGCTGAACGAGACTGGTCCCAGTATTGATCCCTGGGAATGCCACTGCCTGCAGGCCTCCAGCTGGATTCTGCTCTGCTGATCCCTCTGAGCTCTGCCCTTCGGCCAGTTCTCGATCCACCCCACTGTCCATTCATCTGACCCACATTTACTGAGCTCACCTGTGAGGCTGTTACAGGAGACAGAGACAAAMGAGACAACATCCMCTGTTYTCCCCTCACRGACCCATCCTGCCATGCCATCAAAGAAGCCCATCAGATTGGTAAAGCACCGTTTCCCCTTGGTGAATCCATGCTGACCAGTTCCAAYGACCTTATTGTCTTCTACATGCCTGRCCATGACCATCAGAATGAGCTGTTCCATTCCCTTTTCAGRTAYGSAGATGWGGCTGCTTGGATGTATTTTCCCAGGTCCTCCTTCTTGTCCTTTTTGAAGATGGCAGTGACACCAGYTTTCCTCCAGTCAYTGGGCTCCTCCCCTACTCTCCATGATTTTRCACAGATAATGGAGGTTGGCTTAGCAACATCTCCCATCAGAGCCCATGGATTTATGGGTGTTAACTGTGTCCAACTGATCTCTAACACAGAGRGTTCTCTGKGACCAGGGARAAGCCTTCCTTTCTCCAGGCTTTCTCTCTTTTCTYCAAGGTCTGGAACTCCTGAGGGCTGGCCTCACCAATAAAGACTGAGACAGAGAAGGCTTTCAGTAATTCTGCCTTCTCTGTGTCTTCCATCACCAGGACACTCACTTGATTCAGCAGTGGCCCCACATTTTCCCTGATTTTCCTTTTCCCGCTGATGTGCTTGTACAGAAACCCTTTCAATTGCCTTTGAAATCCCTTGCCAGATTCAATTCCAAGWGGGCCTTGGTCTTCCTCTTCTCATMYCTGAATGCTCCARTGATGTTCCTATAGTCCGTGTGYAGGGCCTGGCTCTTTTTCCACATCCTATAAATTTCTTTCTAGAAGATCCCTTCTGATCCATGCAGATCTCCTTTGCCTGATTTCCTGCCTGTAAGGCTACACTGGTTGAGGCTGGAGGAAGTGATATTTGGATACTGATATCCAGCTCCCTTGGACCTCCTTGTCTTCTAGAGCCCCATCCCGTGGGATTCCTGTAAGCAGGTCTTTGAAGAAGCCAAAGGTGGCTCTCAGGAAGCTCATTCAGGATCCTGAGTCCCTAAGGTGTATGTCTCAAACAGCAATAGCCAGATAGTTGTGGAGCCAATCAAGGATTGTTGATAACAACAAGCAGTGACTGTAGGTAACACGCACTGTGAGAAAGGGCAGGGTGTGGCCGGTGAAGGTGGCCATACAGAAATAGGGCAGCACTTTTCCAGGGCAAACATCCTTGTAGCTATTGGAGATAAGGACAATAAAGTGCAAGCATGGGAATGCGGCTGAGCAGGGGCAATCGACTGTAGGGGGAGATCAAGACCACTCAGGATGCCCAAAGCGCTTTGATCCATTTCCAGAAAGGTCTGAAAGAACAGACTGTGCATGAAAACTGATTTGCATAGAAAATGAGAAAGTTAAATCCATGGCAGGGGAAAAAAAGGTATCCTCACAAAGCCCAGGCACATGTGCACCCTCAGGTCCCTGGACTCCCCGACAGCTAGATCCATGCTGGAGTCAGGACCCTGTCTCTGTCTGTGTGTCCCTCTTGCTATCCCCCCCAATCTTAAATACAACTCTCTCTGTCTCTCTCTCTTTCCCTCTCTCTCTCCCTTACCCTCTCTCCCCTTTTACCCTACCCTTTATTCAAAACCCACTGCCATGTGTTTATTGTAGGGGATCAGGGACTAATTTGTATGAATTCTCATGCCAAGTRTGGAATATACTAATAAAACTTCATAAGCTTCTGAGGACCATCTGACTTCTGTCATTCCCTTTGACCACGAGTATCTACAAAACTTAGGTGCTCCCTTCCTTTAAAGACAGGACACCACACTAGCTAGACACAACATGAGTAAAAGGGCAAGCTTCAATTTGAAATGAGAACTTTTCAAAGTAAGAGAAAATGGAGGTAAAACAGTGTCTTTGTCTCCTCTGCTGTTGCACAGGACAATGGATCAACAGAATAGGCATGATTTGGGTGTCACATCCATAGCATTGGTTTATTGTATTTGTGCTRTTGAAATTTTTCTGTAAATAACACAACAATATTTCCTGTTCTTATGAGAAGTGAAATACCCTGGCTACGCTGCAGCCTTTTCATCTCTATTAATTACCAAAAAACGTATAATTTGCATCTTAAAAATACTGTTTCAGACAGCATGAGATTTCTGCTCTTCTTAGGGCTTTCAAGATAAAAAGCACCTGCATGAAAGCTTCTGACAGAAAATTCAGATAATGGCATTGCAAATACTGATGTGGCAATTCTGTCTCAAACCATGCTATCCATGCAATGCCACATRTAAAGCTTCAGATCAAATGGGGAAACTGACACAATTCACTTTCTTTTTAAATATTATATAAAGTAAGTAGTTTCTGTCTGAAAATCCTCACTCTGTCTCTGCACTTGCCCTGCATAAATCAGAATTAAAGGATTTTTAAACTTGCCTGCAAGAAGAAATGAAATCTCACTATTGTTCTTGTAAAGTAGGACTTTCACGGAGTGGTGGTTGCTRGAATCCACCATTTTGAAAGGTAAAGCTTTTCCTGAAGAATGAAAACGGACAAGAAAGGTCTGATGTGGAAAGCCTTTAGCTGCTCTTCTGGTGTTTCTGTACACAGGCAAGGTATTCTTGCACATCATCTGGAGAGCCRAGTATAAGAGGAACCCTCTGGTGAATATTCTCAGGTTTCACATCCARCACTGCTTCAGTCCCTGTGGTTGCCATCCCACCTGCCTGCTCAATGATGAAAGCCATAGGGTTGCATTCATAGAGAAGTCGGAGCTAGAAAGAAAGAGGAAACACATGATTGCCTTTGGGGGGAAATTATATCAAAGGAGTTGCCAAAACCGAGCCTTCCATTTGTGATTTTGGAAAAATTTGTACCAAACTTTAATTGACCTAAGTAGCAAGGTCACTCGGTGAGCCCCTCTTTCCCTCTGTTCTTCTCACCTTCCCCAACACCTTCTGTTTAGAGGAACAGTGTACCAACCCTACATCCAGACATCACCACTATCATTTCCAAGTTGATATACTGACATGCAGCACCAGTGAAGCTGTATTTTGCCAAAAATATCAAAATTAGGTGTCCCAAAGACATCAGCAAAACAGTTAAGCCAGATAARTTGCTAGTACTGGGAAAGAAAAGCCAAAATATCTTCTCATATTGAGTCTTGATGTGTTAACTTGGAGCTTGGGATAATTATGTTATGTTTCGTCCGGATATTTTGAAGTTTGAAACTTGATGCTCCAGTTTCAAATTTCAGGGTTTCATTGCTTCTCTTCAGAAACACGCATAGATATTAGTGGCCAGATAGTGTCTGTTATCCAGAGAGTGTCTGTGTTTTCAGAAAAGCTACAGTTATTAAAAGCAAATTTTCCCTTTTGGTTTGGACCCTAATACCTGTTCACAATTTTCTAAGTATTACCTTTTAGATGAATGCGTTCCTGTGAAATGCAAACTTATTTAGGATATGCCAAAAGTTTCTGTGTTTAAATGAGCATAGAGGGTCAGTTTTGAGCAGGCATTATTTCTGTAGTGCTCACATACAACAATATTCGCATAGATTTTGTTTAGAAGATTCCCCACATGTGTAAAATGGTACCACCATGCAACCACATTTCAAGTTTCTTGTTGCCAAGCTGTGACTATGCAACTTAAGGAAAGCAGTTTTTCTTCAGGAAGAAGTGCAATTGCACTGGGGAATCTTCAGATGGTCTTCAGATAGGTTTAACATTTTCACTTAATAGAGAACTACAGGCCTTAAGTTTATAAAAATATTATTCAAATATATAATTTGAAAAGATTATTTTTTTTGGTCCTATACTGTTTATCAAGCATTTAATTTTCTCCCTTTAAGTTAAAGAAGGAGCTGCATGGGCCTACAAGGGTATGYCATTTGCATTTGCTCTAAAGAATTTAGATCAATTCCAGTGGAATTTTATTCCTTTCAGCACTCTAACCAAGTGCACAGATTGTCAGGGGAATGATGATCAGGGCACTTGSCACAAGAGCATTATTTCTCCAACAATGAAAGATTTATGTGAGAAGAACTATATACACCTGCACTCTAAGAAGAGAAGGGAACTTATAATTGTACTGATAGCAGTTTTGCTCCTTCCATTTTTCTCTTTACTGTGGCAGTGCAAGCCAGAGCAATCCAGTAATAAATGGGGGCTAACTCCTGTGGAAACTTTCATTTATATAAAGTTATATAAGTATACAAAGTTCCTTTGTTCKTTTGTCCTGTTTTTCATTCTCTCTCTTCAACAGAGGTTTAATGCAGATTTCAAAACAAAAAGTTTAATTTGGAGAGGCCAGTCAGCAGATCCATGTGTTTCATACACAGCAAATTCCTTTTTTGTCTCTTTCTCTGATGTACAAACAGATCCACATCATTTAGTGAGGGCTTTTTGGGTGGTGTTTTTGGTTTTTTTTCCCTAGGATACTGATGCAAAAATTTAAATAATTCTTGCCTGGAGAAACATGCAAACATTTTTGGTCATATATGTTGAAATAAATTCTTTTCCTTTGAAGATCATTTAGATCTGYTGGTATTTTAGTTAATACAAGCTTATCATGACGGCACCAGTACTCTTCTCTCCCTAAAGTCTGTAGACAGCAGGATGTTCTGAGGCCAGCTTGGGAGATGCAGCAGATTCCTCCACATACCGTCATGGATGCAGAAATAATTGGATAGAATGTTTTATGTATGGTGTAGATCAGGAAATAATGTGGTTTTGGAGYAGAGCAATGTGTCCAATCTATTACGTACTGAGCCAATAATTTCCTAGGGATGACCTGGAAGTTATTGTTGATCCACAGTTCAGCTGTACAGCTAGGTCTCTTTTAAAATATATTTATTTAGAAATTTCATAGTAAGGGTATCTGATACTGGAGAAGTTGAGGTTGACTTTGATCCATGACCCATCAGTTTCAGAGACTGACTGCATTTCACTGCATTGCATTGTCATGGTGTGTTTTGTATGGGTGTCCAAATGGGAAGTCATATTTTCCCAAAATCTTGATCTCCGCATCATGATACCCACCTTCCACTGCAATTACCTATTCTGGTGAGGTAGTAAAAGTCTGAGCTGGTCATAGTAAGCTCAGTGCCCTTTGGAAACATAAGGTAGAAAAACTTGTTTTTCTAGCACTGGACAAAGCCCCTTCTGGAGCTCAGCATCTTCCTCCTGTTGGTGGGATAACTCTTGCTGTCAGTTTAAAGTGCAGAAATCTTCCTTAGGTCTATGTTTTCCCTGCCAGCTATGCACAGGTGTCTCAATGGGTTTCTAYGGTACTGAAATACTACCCTTAGAAAAATTTATTACATCCTTGGTTGCAGGGAAGAATGCTTGAGTAGTTCATGCTTTAAAAGTTTTCTGGCCTAAGCTGGAAACTGCCTAAATTTCCTAAATTTGATTGCTGAATACAATTTTCATTAATAATTTTTCTGCAGTGGAAAATGATTATYTGTTTGTTTATCTAAACTATTGCTCTGGTAATACCAGATGTGTTAGGTTGGCCAAGTTCACCARAAAGAAATTCAAACTATATACCTTTCCTTTTGGACTCTTCTGATTAGCAGGATACATGAAGATCCCACCATACATCAGTGTACGGTGAACATCAGCTACCATGGAGCCCACATACCTGGCACCATATGGGGAGCTGCCATCCTGAAAAACAAAGAAAAGCATTACATTTACCAGGCTAGACAGCTAGTAGCATGGCAAAAYGTTCATTTTGTTATAAATCAGCAATTAAAGCTGCTTAAATCAATGGTTGTTTATGGATACTGCAAATACTGAAAGCTGCCTGAAGCTTAGCCTTTTGTAAGATGTAGGGATCTCTACAGGGTTCTAAAGTAAATGTTTTAAAGAGCTGCATTCACAGTGTGCAAACCAGAATGCCTGTAATTTAAGTGCACAATTTGGAGTCAAACCCCAGCCGGTTTGATTCCAAAAACCAATGGAGTGAAAACTTCTTTGCTTTATCAGAAGGCACTCATTTGATTTTTGATCCTTCACTGGCTCCTAAGCCAGAGCTTGAGGAGGAGTGTCACTCTTCACTACATATCCAGATGGTTCCTAGAGGACTCCAGCTTTTACCTTCTAGCTTATTTGTCAAGAGGTGAAATTGGTCATAGCATTCATTCTGCTGCTTAGTTTGGGAGACAGTGATTTATTCATGAATAATCTCCTTGCTTTCAGCTTAGAAATTGATGTTGTTGGAGGACAGGTCATTTTAGCAAGAGCAATCAGGGAAGTATTCATGTCAGTCTCAGGTTTGCTGGTCATAAATGTTAAACAGGAAATACGGAAGACAAGCAAGATGTCTTGAACAAATGGAAGTACCCACAGTAGACCAAATGAGCTCCTCTCAAGAAATGGAATGACATGTCACCATAGTTTTATGAAGGAGAGGTACAAAATACAGATGTAGACTCATGGAAAGCTTCTTAAGAATTTTGCTGGTCTTTTCATATGTCTCAATTTGTTTTCAATAAAGCTGAGRAGGAATTTTCATCTTCCCAGACAATTACTACAGACTGGATTTCATGCACATTTAATACACATATATGTTTTTGTGTTACAATGCTAGAAGTTTGAAAATATTCAACATTTTTTTCTGTCTGGATCAGTTTTCCAACAAAATATCTTAGCACTTTCTACAAAGCTCATCCTTTACTGATACTAGATCCAGAAAAATAGATAAAGAACTTGTTCAGCAATGCCAGCTCCAAGACCTTCACAATCCACAAGTTAGTCACTTTCCCAGCAAAATCATAAGGTTAGCTGGGGGGAAAACATTCACAGTTTGAAAGAAAACACAGAAATAATGAAAAACATAATTCTATTTTGAGATCACTTTTTCAAATTCTTCAATGTAACTGTGAATTTTGGTAATTACTCTCTTTAAAAATGGGAGAAGATTCTCATGAAATTACACATTTCAGTGCAACAGAACACTAGAAAGTTAAGTCCTATGCTGCTAAACGTAAGACTTGGATTTCTGATATAGCTGATTTTATTYCTGATAATAAAACTGGAAAAGAGACCTGTTCCAGGCTATTTAATAACCCATGTTTGACTGTACATGCATCAGTTTTCATGATTCTTGTATACACAGTAAGAGAAATATTAAAAATTCAGARGAAAATAATGCAAACCATGAAAGACGTGATGGATTAGACRCAGCCTAGGGCTTTTACACTTATTTTATTTAAAATCTGGTCCTATTGATCATAGGCACAACTGAAAAATGCTTTTAAGTATTTGTTCCCTTGTTTTTCGTGGCTAATGGCTCAAATAATTGCACGTTTAGGCTTCAAATAATAGCTTCTCCATCTCACAGCGGTTTGTACTTGTGACTTTACAATTGTAAAAATCTGACATCWGAAAAAAACACCTTAAGAGGTATTAAAGAGAGACAAAGGCAAGTTTTCTATAAAAGTCAGGGAGAGATGTGATTGTAGTCTCAAATTACCTTTAAAAATACAAAGGAAGAGCTTTCTTTTGTGGTTTCAAAAGGTAACAGARTTTTAAGGAAGGCTTGCTGAACACTAAGAAAAGCCATAACATATCAACAAGAAAGAGACGGCTAAGGATTTATTCTATGACATTATCCCAATAAGGATTCTGCACCCCATWGGAATAAAATTTATTGACCATGAGCTGCACAACTGAGCCACCTGTATACACATCATCAGACATGTTAGAAATGTGATAAATTTCCTATGCACAAACAGATTATTTACATAATTTGTATGTAAATTGATTGCATTATGTGAAGGATACTTTGTGAGTTCCCTTCCAATTCAGGGTATTTTAAGCTGATGGGACACCACTGAGGCTTTTAGTTGTTTCTCACCCTGATCACCTGCTAAAACACAGTGCTGAGACTGTGCTGAGAAAAATACAGAAAATAAATTCCTCCATTTTTATAAKGCTATTACTTGAACCACAGACTGAAATATAAATTTCATTTCCCTTAGCATGTAGCTGTCTGGATGGGAAGAACAAATATTCCTTTTAGTTAGTGAAATGCTATTTCTTGTTTCTCCAGTTTTGTTGCTCATGCATTTTTTCTTTGCAGATGAGAAATTTAATATGTGTTGGCATGTTGCCCAGGCTTTCTTCTCAAGCAGAATGACAGAGCATGAATGCTAGACAGGTTCATCTCAAGTTCTCAGTAATGCCAAGCTCTGTATTTGTTCAATAAACCCTTCTGGTTGTTCAGTTGATGCCACTGAAGGAGGTGGAAAACCTTCATGTTCCAGCATGTTTCATGTCAGMATCCATGGTGTTTGAGTAAACTTGTGGCTAATCTTCATTTTACACCTTCTGCTGCTTTTGTTTTTCTTGGTGCAAACGGACAAAAATTAATCATAACAGATAGATTTTGTGGGTTTTTTTTCCTTCTCATTCTGATAGAAGCTGTTTTTTAGTTTCTTTATTCGACTGATTTCTGACAACCCTGTTCTTCCACAGCAGAACAAGACCAGGTTTCCCTTATATAAATAGGATGGGAGGGTCCCAAGAAATCTTTTCTACAGACTACAACAGCAACACCCTGCATCCCTTACTCCATGCACAGATGTGGTGACAAAGGCATGGTGGTTTTACCAGCCTTTTTGTATCACTCAGACATAACTTGGCTACTTGGCAGAAGAATGCTTCGTACTGAAATGTGCTGTTGATGGCAAGTTTTTAATGGCATTGCTGAGASAAATCCTTAACCAGGGAGTCTCCATTGCACAGCTGTGATGAGACTCAGCTTCTCTTGCTCCTGACTGTAGGAGGCAAAGATAAAAATAGGTTACATAGAAAGTGTCCACAGGATATTTCCAAATTCTACCGTTGGTGAGTGAGTGTCAGAGAGAARCTAGGGCCTTGCAGCCATTATGGGAGGAAGGACCCATTTTGGGGACTAGTTATAGTGAAATTTACACAGAGACAGTTTCTGTCCCAGCAGTGCCCATTAAGCATTGCAGATTGGAGTAAACATGTTGCATGACAGGCAGCTTTGCAAACAGCAGCTTGCTCTTCAAGCTGGTTAAGCAGCAGCATGATTTTGTCATGCTTAATAAAAWATTAGTTTTACTCTCATGCCAGAAGAGATGTGATTAGACATATTTCTCCCTAAGAGGTAGCAGTAGGAGGCTTAGGTCTGGCCTGCAGAATTCCAGCATTTTTCTACTGCTATTTATTCAGAATTGATGCCTTAGGTAAATGGTGATCCACCAAGAAACTTTGAGGGTCAGTGTAACTTTGTAGTCCAAATTGTCTGATCTGGGACACTGCTGTTAGATAGTAAGGGGAAATCTCTCTTCAACTCTTAAACAGTTGATTTTTAGTGTTTCATTGCCGATGACAATGATACAGAACACGGGGCATGTTGTGGACAACATTCTACTTTGCCTGTTTTACTTTTAATTTCTAAGTTTTCTCTGGCAATGCCAGAGAGTCATCTGAACAGCATGTTGACCAAGAGCCACAGAAAGGAGTTAACAGAGGTAAGAKCAAGAAAAAAAGTATAAAAAAGTGACAAATAGCTAAAATTGATGTCTCTTGGCTTCCAGTATGCAGAAGGATACAGGGTGAATGATCTGCCTGAGTAAGAAGATGTTCCCCCATGYCCATGTGTCAGTTCCTCCCCAAGTCACAGGCAGGGGATCTTCCAGTGATATCSTCACTGTTCTGCATGCTGGAGAGAAGGACGCCAAGACCAAAGCTGTGAAAAGCTCCACCTGGCTTCTGGGGGGAAGGTAGGAACATCCCCAATGTGGCTGTGGCTGGTTAGACTCATAGATGAGATGGGAAGCMCGTTCCATGCTGCATAGGAATGGCAACACATTTTCTCTCTARTCCTCCCCACAGTGCAAATATGACGTCCTTTCTAAACCAAGGAACTGAGCTGCGCTGTTTCCAAAAATCAGACTCATAACAAGCTTCAGATGGGCGGGGCACTTCCTTGTGCTTTGTGKCCACAACATTTGTGCCCCAGCCCTTCTCATGCAGACAGCTGTACATCTCAGAGCAGCAAAAAATGTGCTTGCTCAGCATCATTGAGGAGATTTCCCCTGTCCCAAATAACACATGCACTTCTAGGCTGCTCGCTTTAAAACAACAAAAACATCTTCTGCCGACTTCTGTTGCATCAGACCAACAATATTTCAATAGTTTTCCTCAAATGAGATAAATCAGTGTTTGCAAAGGAGTTTTTTCTGATGTGTCCTAATTTAAGGATTTAGTGAGTCACATGATATAGACGACCTTAATTAATCTGTGGTGAAATACCTCTGTCTTTCCACTGAGTTTGAAATCTCGCCAGTCGTTTCCTAGTTGCCTGGGGTTGATGCATTTGTTTAAGAGTTTTACCTCAAACAAACCTGTGTTTTGSTTTGCAAAAACACAAATAATAAATCCAGTCTTAGTGCACTAYACTGAATACATAGCCTGGCATAATGAGAAGCACAGATGTCCTTCACTTTCCCAGCTGGATTAGGTTTCAGGAAGTATGAAAGTTGTGTCAGGGCTTCTGCTTCTTTCACARCTGAACTGAATACAGACTTTGAAGTCTCAAAATAGCCTCAAATATTCAATTTAATGTGTTTGGAATGATGTGATGTGACATTCTCTGTAGCTACAACCTGGATAATATGAAAAAGAGGTTCTGATATTCAGTCAGTCTGGCAGCTATAGTCAATGTAGTAAACCCAGATTTTCAGCGCAGAAGGAGGAGCTTATCACAGCACTATAGTTTAAATGCTTACTCACTGTATTTCCATTGTACAGCACCCAGAGGTTTTTACTGGATCCATTTTTTTAAACATGAGCCATGCATGTGTAGTATGACATACTAGTTTGACAACTATTAGCTTAAAAAATAATTCTAATTTTTAAGTAGGAAGAGCTTTAAAACCACTTTTCTGTCCAAATTATGTCCTGAGTTGATCCACATCACCATATTTCATTATTAATTACTTATCACATAGCCATACTTTCTAGAGAGCTTCCAGCTTCCCACACTGAGAGCTTGTGTTCTGTCCTCCTAGCATTGATACGAGGCCTTACAGTGCTGTATTTGTCCAAGGAAGCTCATCAGACATGGGATGTGTCTCTCCAAGGTAGCTCATCAGACATGGGATGTGTCTCTCCAAGGAAGTTCACCAGACCTGGGGTGTCTCTCTTTTAACAACCAAATACAGTGAAATTGTGCCTCACACAGTTTTTTTAGTTTTTTCCCCCAGCCTATAGGTAGTTTAATGCTCCATATGATGCAAGCAGACTGTGCAAGAATGATACTGCATTTCTCAGACGCAAGCATGTACAGGAAAGAGAAGATGATGCCACCCAGATTGCTGCACACACCTTCTGGACAGCACATGGAATCTATCCCTAAATGCCCAGCTGCACGTATGATTGCACTGCACCCTCAGATAAAGCTAGAAAACAAGGATATCTCCAAATTTGGCTTACACAGTGCCAGAGCTTTGTTGAAAAATCTGGTTCTTCAGCACATTTCCCTTCACATAAATGAACTATGATTTTATTTATCAAAGTCAAAGTTATAAAAGATGTCAGGATGTCAAAAAAAAAAAAACCTGTTAGATGCATATCAAAATGGACCTGGTATGAAAGGGTTACATGGGTCTGAACTCAGGAAGACCTTCAAATCCTTTTCCATCAGCCAGGACTGCATGGAATGCAGTGCTTGCCAGCACATGCTAAATCATTGAGTACAGTGCTAATATTTTCTTACCTCAGGGAATTTCTTCTTTTGCAAATATTCTGTCATTGCAGGATCAAAATACTTCGCATAACCTTCATTGAGACTGTATACCTTCCCTTTCTTCTTGATTTTAACATCTCTGTCCACCAAAATAAATTCACCAAGACCCTGCAGAATGGGATAAATGAGACATTAGCAGGCAGCTGAAAATTTTGTTGACTTTCTGTAACAGTTGTCACACTAGAGATGGCAGAAATGCTAGCACAGCTTGATCCTTTCAGSGCCAGTCTGGTGTATAACCTCACAGTATTTCAAAGAGAGCAGAAAGCAGAGAATTTGCATTAAGTTATTGAAAACTTGTCATTTTTGTACTATAAACAAAAATTTGGAAAAGTTAAGAGTATCAAAAGAACACCAGTCAGTCCTGAGAGCACATGGATCATGAATCTCTGTAAATCATATTATTATAACTTAAGAAATGACACCGTCTTCTGATTTTTGAACTCTTCTTGCCTTTCTTGTCTGAAATGTCTGAAAGTGAATGTGGTCAGCTACCCCCAGGTGCTGCAGTCTGCCGTTTGCTTTCAACTTCCACCTTCTCTGTCACTGTCTCTGTCTCTAACCAGAGCAGTTCATCTCCCTGTTCTTTCCACTTGGAACAAGATTATTTACAAAGCTTAAGAGAAGTTTGGGCAATAATGCATCTTTTATTTAAAAAAAAACAAAAACAAAAACAAAAAAAACCAAACAAACCAACACAAAAAAGCGAAACTCCTACGTCATTGCCCACATCTAATGCTGGTTTTGCAAATGAATGGTCTTTCTGCATTCCCACAGTAACACTTGCTGGGATCCTGGGCTGGGCGCTGAGGAGAGCCACACATCCAATTGTACAGGGATYGTTGTGCTTTTGCAGATTTTTGGGTATGCAGCTAAGGAGAATACAGCCATAAAACTGTACTGCACTCAGGAAATGAAATATCACTGTGCATGAGCTATCAAAAAAATTGGTCCTTGCCTCAGGCTAAACACTGAACATGCTGATGTTCTTCAGACAGAAGCATCAAGAACAGAATACACACAGRTTCCTTTAAGTGGAGGCAAAGACACTGTTTAGACTAGATTTTCTTAAGTGCTGGTTTGAATGAACTGGGTTTCAAACACTTAGTTGAGATTTTAACTCAATTTCTCTTTGAATGAATAGAAAAAAAAAACAAGCAGGTTTTGTAACCAACATGCTCAGGTATTATTAAATACTTGCAAAGAGAAGGGACATGAGAGAAAAAATTGCATGAAGTGGCTAGATTACAAAGACAAACATTAACAAAAGYAAGTAAAACCAAGTACATGAAATCTCTAAAAGATAGTGGCAGTGTGATTAACACCATGACTGTACCGGATCGAGCATGAAGCAGTCCACTCCTTGCCCTGTGGAGAGGGCRACCAGCGTAGCACTGCCATACAGGGCGTAGCCTGCAGCAACAATATTGCGACCRGGCTGTAAAGCATCTTTTTCAGAGGGCTCTTCATCTGTTTCCTGAGGAAAAATTACCATTGGACAAAAGGTTAAATTGTGATAATGARCAATAAAAACGTTTCAACAGCAACATGTGATAGATTTCCTTTTTCTGTCTAGGCAGGTGTTTGAAACACTGAAAACAGAGGTTGTTCCCACTTGTTCAGGGTGAGTTTGGTACAGGTACAAATGCCTGTTGGGACAGGACACTGAAAGTTTGTTATTTTATACATATCACGCAATCAACATGATACCTGCCACGAAGCTGATCCCTTAGCATCAGCCCAGGCTAATAACTCAGGATCATCAGAAATCTGAGACAGAGCAGAGGTACTAATTTTCTGCAAGTATAACATAAACTATCATTCCGACACGGCTCAGAGGGAATAACTGAGAGATAAATGCTGTAATTAACATTACAGACAACATACTTCCAGTAACACAGAAAAAAAAGGGTGGATGGTGCAACATGGTGCAACCAAGTTTGTGTGTTGGTCTCTCCTAGTGAAGAGATGCATAACTGGAAGGATATAAATGTTCATCATATTATGTACAAWTATTATATATAAATGTCCATCATATTATGTACAAATGTTATATGTAAATGTTCATCATATTATGTACAAAATAACTATGTGTTTGATTATGCATGTGTCCAGGTGTGCAGGTGTATATATATAACTCTACACAGAATATTCWGGTGGCATTTTACTTCATGCATTTAATCAATTTCTGACACTTGTATTTTGATCTAGCACTATGTTTTTCAGTGGACAACAGCAGCACTAGCAGACCTGGCGCAAATATTTCCAGCCAACTCTAGAGGTGTGCCTCAGCCCCAGCTTGCAAGAGTTTGTCTGGTGGGGTCATTAAGAAAGACAGCTAACAGTACTTGGGAAGGCTGGCTCCAGCCTTCACCTCTTGCRCCTACAAAACAGATAGGGATTGCTTGTTGTCATGTTTATTTAAAAGTCTGCCAGTTGTGGGATTCTTGTATGGATGCTTGGATGGTGGTCCATGGGGAATCAAAATGAGAAGCACCCCTTTCTTCAGGCCCTGGTTTAGTATTTTATTGTTTCAAACTCAGGCAGTTTCTCAGTGACTGCACAGGCTTATTTAGATTGAGTAGCAGCTAAATAGAAACAGCAGGTCTAGTCCTGAATGGTTAAAAATAATAAAAAAAAATAAAAATCTGTGAAGACCGTCTTGTGTAGAAAATAAAATATTTGCCCATCAAGGTCATAGCAAGGTGATCCCACTCATTGTTGTATGTCAACACCCTGAAGAAAATTGAGATGTGGGACACCAGAACCTGACCTTTCTTGATATATGAAGACAGTAATTTCACATAAAAAATTTTCACGTTTAGCCAAAAAATGTTGTTAGTTTTGTTACTTCACTTACAGTTTTTAACTGTATTTTGCTCAATTTTTATTGTTATTTTGCCAAGTCTTTCTGTGGGAAAAAAAAACCCAGTTGACAACCAGCTCTACATGGAAGCTGAAATATAACATGTACATATATTGGCATTCAGTCACTTGAAATTTTGTCAAGTTGCTTATTCTGAGAGGTTATAATGAAGTTAATGAAGGCAGTTTAAACTTTTGTTTGCATATTTCAGAGCTTTGAATATTGACTAAGAGTAGCTAATACTTTGCAAACGAATCTTTACAGCACCAACTATTATACTGTACATAACATCATCTCCTTCAAAAATATATCCCTATGGCACAAACATCTCACTAGCAAAAGCAATGGTTGTGTAAGCAATAATAGTAGACTAATTATTTGCAACACCAAATGCAGAATTAAACATATATTTACACAGTTCGTTTCAAACATATTATGGTTGCCATAGCTTTTTGTATGCTTTTCTCACTGAAGAAAAAATCATTTTGTATAAATACAGCAAAGACATTTGTCTTCTAGAGTATGGTGTATATACAATATATTTAACTTCCAGTTATATATATTTTTATAGTTTTATATATTTTATGTTATATTTCTATTTTATTTTATAGAGTTACATATATTATATAGTTTTAAAATATTTTTTTCTGAGATGACCTTTTCAGTCCTATCTTTTAAATACATTTTGTATATTAACATGGCTGAGAAACAATGTATTTATTGACTATTCTTAAAAAAAACAGAGGAGTATCTCCTTCAGGATATAGCAGTAGGGCTGAATTCACTTGTTTTTTCATCCTTGTTCATAACTGTGTTTTCAACAGCTAGCTTCCAAAAAGAAGGAGAAAAGCTCAGTCTGAAACAAACATTTTGCAGAGGATGTTAGAATGTGAAAAAGCTACAGATCAGCCGATATTTCAGTGTTCGGACTGTTTGGAGTTTTGTCCTGCCAAGTACCATGTACTGTTAAACAAACCAGGGAATTAAACTGGCCYRTACCTTCTGACTGCTGAGTATTTTYACTTCTTTCTGGTGCACAGATGGATTTCCTGTCTATAATATTTTGGTGAGGATGGTGGTAGTGAAATATCTTCAGAGGTTTTTATGCAAAGCTACTAAATAGGCAGATGGATTGCAAATAATGAGTTAGAGTGACTCAGTCACTSTAACTCATTGGTGTGAAGCAGATGAAACAAGGGCTGCAGAGTTTGGCTACAGGGGCACCCTCAGGGGATGTCTGAGTTTGAATATTTCTGTGTATGTGATTTGCCTGACATCACATGAGGGAGTTCTCTGCACTGGCAGCGGCACTAAAAGGACTTGATTTCCTGGTCTCCATTTGTGTCAAGTGTTTCATGAGTATCTTTAGTGTTTCTACTGAATTCTTACTCCTTCTCTGTGAGGGACCATGTGAARAGGAGGATATTGTCCTCATGACAATGAAGGGTAGCAAATAAAATACATCAGAGGCATTGGGCAAAGTTACAAATTAAAACCAGAGAGAAGCAAAGCAAGAGAGTGTCATAGCATATTTATGCAATATGAATTAAAAGTTGTAGATTCAGCTCAGTGGCATGAAAACCTGGGAAGAATCCAAGGAAAGAATGTTTTTTGTCACCACATCCTGACACTTTGGCAACTGAGAGCCTCTCAGTGGCAGCAGCTGTCGAGGTTTGACTCCCAGCTGGTCCTGAAAGGCTCCTCCCTCAGCCCCACTTTTCTGGTGTTTCTGATTTTCAACAGCACCACCCTTTCTTCAGAAAGCAAAGGCCAGGTGGAAAACTAAATAAATCCGAGATAGCATTCGTTTCCTCATAACTTTTGTTAAGAAACTGATACAGAATTTTTCTGATGGGAGGAAATGATCCCTCCCACCCTGGTGGAGGCTCTGAACTGAGAGCAATCAGACAASTGCTTTCAGGATTGAAGTGTATTCTCCAAGTCTCTGTCTTTCTATARACATCCTTATTATCTGTTCTGCCTCCCCGCATTCCCCCAAAATGTTTCCTCTCTGGAGAGTTTGCCTTTGGACATGAAGTTAAGCTGAGCCRTGGTGAGAAATGATGATGAGTTATGTGCACATCTCAGAATTGGTGGGTGCTAAGATTCATCCTTAGGAATTACTAGCTTTTGAAAAATGTTGTTCAGGAACCTTAAATGGCCTGAAATTATGTTTTCTTTCTCAAATGATACTTTTCCACTGGAATAAACATCTCACTGTTGTTCTTTCACATGACCCYTTAGTAACAATAATAAAGCATTTATTATTATTTAATAATTTCAAAGAGCCTGAAGTTGGTAGTGTTTAAAGGTAMTAATGGTGCTATGATATTATGCTGTCTGAGAGGAAGGTACATTAATTAACATGTACTTTGTAATTAGCATTTTAATGGAAAGTGCTATTTAAGTGTAAGCATGTAAATTCAACATTGCTTCTAACTCACCACAGAAAACTGAAAATTTTCTTGCACAATTGTTCTTTYAATTGACAAATGCTGCTTCATCCATTTTCATTTGGATCTGAACTATTTGTACAAAGCAATGTTATTTCCTTTTTATGAAATACTGAAAGTATCTATCCAGATGGAAACCAGTAAATTAGAAACAGTGTTTACAAAAAATACATTAATATACAATACAAAAACCGTGAAAGAATCAGAAAATTACTTAAAATCTTGAGCATTTGGAAATTTGGAMAATGTTGTTATCCTGAAGCAGAAACCTGGGGAAGACTGGGCAGTCCACAGGCTTTACACATATTACAGGTGAGTTAAAGATGGCAGAGAAATCTAATTTGTGTTTCAACCTTCTAAGCTATATTAATCACACTGAGCACTTGCCTTTATAGTCACACAGAGTAAGTTAACACTACATTTTTTAAAGAGAAAGATAATGTTTAATATTTGTAAGACAGTTCTTACCRCCTTTAAGAATGGTAGACAATGCAGCTATTGCCTATTGCAAATGTTGATAGCTGCTGTTGGCATTTAGGATATCTTTGCAGAGAAAAATGAAAAGGGTGGGGGTCTCTTTGCTTAACATAAAAGCACTTTCCATGGACCTCATCAACACAGATAAGCTCTTTTCCCTGCAAAAAGCAAGACCCTGCATGGTACTGGAGGTACCAAAATCATACCCAGGCACCATCTCAGTGTTGTCTACTCTACACTGCATCTGTGGTATGGGTTTGCACTAACCATTAACAGTGTGCCAAATTCCAGGACTTGGCTTRTGCCTTGACCATCTTGAGAGTGTGCTGGAACTATCTGAGGAGACGTGTATTCCCAACAGTGATGACTACTGTATTGCCCAGAAGGAATGTAAAAACCAAGGACTAGTCAGCTGAAAATTATGAGTTGTCAGAAATATCTTCATTTCCTTTAAGTGCAGCATCTGTAAAGACTTCTTTGAAGTCACAAATACTGTAAACTGTTATTTCTCAATAGCAATGGCTGAGGGTCTCCCATAGTCATATGACCGTGAGCTCAGGCTTTGTGAAAAACACCAACTGCTGGGAGATTAGCAAACAAGTCACAAGACTTGGCAGGACTGTCACTGTGAGCGTTTGTAACTGGCTGTGCAGTGGCTGTTTTTGCAGCAGACACGCTGCCAGGGCCCGGGTGGATGCAGGTGAGCGCCTCCGATGTTGCCGTGCCCAGGAACTCCCGTCCAGAACAGGCACAGCAGCTGGCACCGGGAGCCACCGTGATCCTGACCGGGATCCGCTCCTGGGCTGCCAGCCCCCTCTAGCTAGTGTCCAGGGGGACACATTCTGTGCTTTGTCAGCACTGCGACACTGAGCTGCCCTGGGGCTCAGGTGCTTTTAGCTGAGTGCCTGTGTGTGTGGAGGAGACAAGTGCTGTCACCTAACAATGGGGCTGGGTGTCCCCTCCCTGTGAACTCAGGCAGCACTTTAGCACACGTGAGTCTCTAGCGTTTCTACTCTTTCAAAGGTTCTCTTTTTCCTACAGACACCTAAAGGACCTCAGAAAGAAACTAGGTAAGGCGGTGAAACGAGGACTTTTCGCTTTCACCAAGCGAATCGTGCCAYATTTGCTTCTCTTACCTTTTTGTAGATTGCAAATATTGTTCCTATTGGCGCCAAGCAGTCTATGTTGGATGAACCATCAAGGGGGTCAAAGCACACCACATATTTACCCTAAAACAGAAGTGGCAACAGAAGCATTAAATGATACATAGTTTCGTACTATTATTTCCTTTTGCTTGAAAAAATCCCATGTTTTTATGTCGTCGTTTAGCCCTCCAAGCATGCCYGATACGGCTCATCAGAGAAGGCTGCAGTGCTGACCCAGCTGGCCCTGCAGCCAACACCAACTCCCCAGGGCCTGCCGGAGAAACTGGAGAGGACGTGTTCCTGCTCACACAGCACAAATAGATGAGGCAGAGGAGCAGCCCTCTGCGGCCAAGCAGTGCAAGAAATTGTTTAAAAGCTAAAGGAGTGACTCATCCTGGAAGCAAGTTATCTTCCTCAGATAAATACGTTTTGCTTTGTTACTTTTTGCTGCGACTGAAAGGATTTCCCCKTTTCGAGAGGTTTGAGGGTAAGAAAGCAGAAGGAAAAAATCTCTAGGAAAGGATATTTACATCAGCTCGAGCAGTAACTCGGTGCAATAGGATCCCCTCCTGGGGGAAACCTGAGGAAGCAGTCAGGTGTTTCCTTCGGACATGTAACATAAAACTCAGTTCTGCCAGCCTCTCATCTCACTTTATCTTGCTAAATACTAATGTAATTCAAAACSGTTGCACTGCTGGTCAGAGAATGCAACAGTGCACATATAGCTGGGATTTGGGATGTGTTAACAAGCTTAAAAATAATTATTTTCCACCTTCACAARACTTTAATAATAATTTTACCCTCCGCATCTCTTTTAGCTGCTGAAATCAGGCCAGCCACTACAGTTATTAATCAAAACAATGCAGAAATTATGCAAATTTTCTGAATTCCCCCGGGAAGCGGCGGGTTTAGGGGCCAGGTTTCATACTTGAAGCAAGAGTGCCACCTGCTGCTGCCTGAGCCAACAACCCCCCGGACGCAGGAGCCGCACAGACCCGCCTGTCTGCCGGGGTGATGATGGCATCCTTGTTCTCCTCCGTGACCAGGACGCAGGTGCTGTAGGAGGACTGGAGCATATTAATCACCAGGGAGTTGGATAGTACATCCAGCTTCTTCACCTCATCACCCGTCACATTCACAGTGCCAGCTATGCCAAACCTACAGAATAGTAAAGATGTCAGGAAACRGGAGGGAGGCCAACATTACAGTTTTTTAGGAAAAACCTCATAAAGTCAAGGTGGTTTCTTCTTCTTATATTCATGGACCTTTATCTYATCTTTGGATTAAACAGCTGAGGTGTTTTATAAGAGGTGTTGCTGCTCCTACAAAATACAAGCATGCATGAGAAAGAGAAAGGACMACGGTGTAATTTTGGGGCTTTGCCAGGCTCCTTTTGCTCCTGTGTGGGTGTTCTCCAGGACAAGAGCAGAGYCTACAGCCTGGGTAGAAAGTGCCAYGCTTCTCTAGCAAAGCAACTGGCTGCAGTTTTGAGGAATCAGAAAGTGCAGTGAGCATTTGCATTATTTTCTGCCACTGGCTGCTCAGAGTTCTGTGATGGTCCTTTAATCCTTATTCAGTCAGTCCCCAGCCAGACCGAAATCAGGAACTTTAAAGACATTCCCAGGGAATTTGCCATATGGAACTGTATCTCAGGATCAAGGTTTGTTTTATTTGRTGATCCTCAGCTGAGTCAGGGTGRTGTTTCTTTTCCCTATCCCAGTTTTAGCAATGTGCTAGTAACTTAGTATGGTAATATATATATATATGTTCATGAGATTTGCAGTTGTAGAAACACTGTTCAGACCTAAYGTGCATGTTCTGGGCATCTTAGAAATACAAAAGCCATACAGGGAAAATATGTAGTTTATTATTCATTAGGGGAAAAGATAGAGGGGTTGGGGAGGAGAAGGGGGCAGGTAATTAGTCCCTAGGATGATGCTGGTCAGGGGCAGGAACGGAGTAGGTATTTTGTCCTACCCAAAGCTGCCTGTGGTTTTCAGAAGCACTGAATTTCTGGGACATTTTATTTCTGAGTGCCAAAATTTTGGGAAATTATTTTCAGGGAGTGGTAAGTATTTATCCTCTGGTTAGTGCATTTTTAGGCACAATCCCAGCTCAGGTCCATGACTTGGAAAAAGTTCTTCTTCATTTTTGTATTGAAAATCTGTCCAAAATTCATACTTAACTCTTTAACATTAAGGAAGACATTTCACAGCCTCCTGTTTGGAGGGGCTAAAAAAATCAGAGCCCTTTAACTGCACAAATGCAGATGGATACAAGCCCCTTTCACAGTGGTTGAAAGTTTGCCATGGGAATTCCTGAAATTTCATGATTAGTTTCAGTAATTTAAATGGCACTTTAAAAAGTTATTAATTTCTGTGTTTGAATACTTTAGATATTTCTGAGTCAACATCTGAAGGTTTTTGTTTGTAGAAAGAAACATTTGCTCCATAACATAATGGATGGTTTGGGTTTTTTTTTTCTGAAGGGGAAGAAGGATACCTSTAGCCTATCAAATAGTTTCTCTGTTATTACGAACTATTTCAGAGATTGCCTTATTAAAAATAAAAATTATGTAAGAGCAACTGTTCCTCTAAATCAGGGAGGCAAAATAGCTCAGTTTCACCAAGTAAGGACAGAGACAAAGCATAATTTAAGAGGAAAGGCATAGGAGCCTGATGCTGTGGTTTGACAGACTTTGAATCTGTTTCATGTCCTCTCTACACACCGTGGTCCATGCTGTAAAGTGACGGCAATGGGTCTGAGATGTTGAATTCATGATTTGAAAAGGTGATTGAGGACTTGGACCAAATAATCAACAGAAGCACAAAAACCCTTAGTGTCACACATTTTGGTGTTCCTATGGGAGGAAAAACAACCCAAACCCCAAAACAAATTATGAATTTTGTCCTTCTTTCACAAATGTATTACTCTGCTATTTCATGCATGCATATATWGGTACATACTCAGGTATGTTCAGAAATACCTATTTCCATCCATTTCAAAACTTTTCTGTTTTAAATGCACAATTTTATTAGGGCATTCCATATCTCTGGACTYCTTCAGACAGATCACCATTAAAAAAACTTAAGAGTGATGTCTATTTCATTTGTTAATGTGGAATAGCTCAGTACATTCCAGGCTATTTTTTATTCCACCTGCTAGATTTGTTTGCCAAATTGTTATATTTGTTTTTCATATAGAGCCTTTTGAGACTCCCCACCTGTAACCCTGATTGAGGGATACTGCTTGAGGAAGGAAAGAGAAATGCACCCTGGTGCATAYATCTCAGTCTATGGTGTTTCTGACAGGGCTGCTGTTTTAAAGCATTGCTTATACATCAGACAGGCAGAAAATCAGCTTCCCAAGATAAGCCAAGCCCTGATTTGCACACTGCAACACAGGGCTTGGAGTTAGCAGAAAATACCACAGTGAGATATTCTGCATGAAAAATATCATGGTGTGATCTTCAGCAAATTCACAGTAAACTTAAAAATAGATCAGTATCAACAAGTACAAGAGATAACAAGGTGAGCAATGTATTGAAGTTCTGACTTACATTTTTAGAGTAAAATATTACAGAACAGCAGTTAGTTTAAGTGTCTATCTTGTGCCCTCTATTAAAATACTCCAGAAGGAGTGCTCTCCTGCTTCGCAGTCTTAACAATCCAGGCTCTGACCTCACTCATCTTAAAAAAGACACTTCCAAAGTACTTGTGAATCCCTGCCCACTCCCCAACCTTGCTGTGCAATAGCTGTCTCTGYACCTCCTCTTCCTCCCTGTAGTGCAAGGTAGGACTCACATGTGGGCAAGGCCTGCCTTTCTGACAGCAGAGGAAATGGCCTTTATGGCAGTCAGCATGGAGTTGAGCAGCTGTGTCAGCTCCCCTGTCGCTCCCTTCACGCGGCGTCCCTTCTCCATAACAAATCGCGTCAGGGTCAGCATATCCGTTTCGAAGGGGCTTTTGTCGGTCATTTTTGCTGGGTACCACAGCTCCTGTCTTCTCGGCTGGACAAGATGCTCCCTTGCTGTGTTGAGATCCTGGGTAGCTGTTTTATTTTGAGCCAAAGCTGTTGGCTGTGTTGCTGGTCAGAATTTATTAAGAGCGTCTCTGAGACCATGTGATGTTGTGCTCGGAATAACTGCACCCCGGGCTGGCTCCACAGCTCCCCTGGGATGCAGGAAAGGGGCCTGAGACAGGATTGCAGCTGAGCAACCATGCTCCTCTAATCCCCCCACACACTGAAATTAGCTCTGTGCAGATCTAGTTACATATTCTCACTGTACATTAGACTGGCTATAATGCAAAACTCTCSCTGGCTGTGTAGCTGGGAATGGCTTTCCTGCAGATCCTGCTCAGCAATGGGCTCAGCACAGCCAAGGAAATGCACAATTTGCATAGCACCAGGAAGGAAGGCACAGGCACCACGTGCCAYAGTGTCCCCCAGCCTCGTGACTCCAGGTGAAGCTTCCTTCCCAATATCCCTATTTGTTCACTCTCTTTCGCTTCCACCCTGGAGAAGGGTTTTGAAGAGGTGCATCTGCACACACATTTATTAAAGTGTTTTATGTTGCTAGTTGGTCCACTGCAGTTCCATTTTAATTCCTGTTCTGGGCTGTTTGTAATATCATAGGGYTTGAATGAATGAGAACTACTGGTTAGCTGTGGCTTGACTAGTGATAAAGTAATTATGTCTTCAATAATTTACACATTAAGCTGCCTGATTTAAGCAGGTCAATGTCACCACTGATAAAATGAAACTTTATGTTGGCTTCCATATTGTACTGCACCATGTAAATATAGGTGTGTCCAAATTTGCAATTGTGCTGCTGTAACTCCATGCAAGCAATATACTTGGACCACACGATGCTCACGTGAAGGTAGACAGAAACTCTGCCAGTAATGTATTAGATTGTGCATTAGGTACATGCTGTCTGGAACACTGGAGTTGGATGGATTTCAAYTTGGATATGGATTTTAATTACAGCACTGTCTTCCCACTCTGATTAGGCAATAAGAGCAACTATATGCTGTAGCCTTCCTTTTACTTACTAGCAGCACTCTTCTTTTTAAGCAGAAGATCTGGAAAGCTCACCAGCAAAACAAGAAAATCTAGAGTTACARAAGGAAAGTTTCATTAAGTTCCATTGTTACTCCTTTAACACAAATGACTGCATTAAAATCTTGGTTTTTACTTTGAAATCAGCCTGAAACTAGGATTTTAGAGACTGACTGCACTGAACACTAGCAACAAGTAGAAAGACAGAGTTCAGTGCTGCTTTCATCCCACTTGCTTAGCTTTGGGGCTGTTTTTCCAGTCCTGTTCCAAGGCAGAGAAAACACTGGTGAGCAGAGTTGCTCAGACAGAGCAACAGGCAGGTTTTGCACAACATCCTCTAAGGCAACGGTTGAAAAGAATCTTGGAAATTTTCGTTTTTCTACTACTGTGATATAGTTAAATGTACACAATACCATTCACATCACAAGGCAAACATTATAGAGCAAGTTTTGGCTGGTTAGGAGGCTTTCTTCCTTTGAACAGACTTCTGTGGAAAACCAAAAATAATGTATGTAAGGAGCTCTGGGACAGCACATGGTAGAATTATTAAAATTTGAAGGTAGTGGACAGGTTTCATGTTAATACATGCAAAAATACCTGCTGGCTTAAAGTACAGCCATTACATTCTGCACTTTATTTCATTATCATGGCAACTGTCTGACAAGTACTAAAATGCTTTTAATACAACATCTCTYTGCTGTGTAGATGCAATGCCATAAACAYAGCAAATCAAATTAGTAAATAAGAAATGGGGCTGGGGTTGGCCTATGACTTCTAACATTTGTCAAAACATCACATGCAGATCTTMTGTTGATTCCAACTGACCTTCTACACTGGTCAAAAAGACAAAGTTCAGATCATCTTCWAACAGAAAGTTTGTTTTGGAGTTAGTGGTTCAAAGGCTGTTTTCAGAGCTAATAAGTCCACTATTTACATCTTTTTCTTACCTTTTTTATTTTTTTTAAACTGCAAATGTATTTTATAGGTACTGGATTTTTTTAGTGCTTTGCGCTGCTCAAATAACAGTACCTCAACAAGAAGTTAACTTACACTATTACATAAAGAAAATAGACTCTCCAACATTCCATAAACAATAATTCCATAAACAACAATGTTCCATAAACATTGCAGGCAAGTGTAGCACAAAAAGAGAAATAAAATAATAAAAACTTGGATAAAGGCACACAACTGGATCACATGAAAGTTTCATCCTGTTTTGACTATGATCCCACTGAATGATAATAACCCAAATGATTCTACTGAATCATTAGACTATATAARTAAATACCATTTTGGGGAGGTGGGGAGAAATCAGATTGTGTCAAAAATGTGCAATTATTGCCTATAAGCCTGAGAACCTCTCAGTACAAGAGGCTGGAATAACATAGGAAGTTTAAAATAATAAACATCTCCATTTGACAGATCTGTGGGAGTTTTGTCCTCTGATATGAAGAGCTCTTGGGAATGATTCACACCTGCACTGGTGCATGGGCCAGTCCTGAGCYTTAAATGTGACACCTTGTGTAACTGACAGGAAATGTTGGTCATCTGGATGGTGCCACCTGAAACTGGAGCCAGTGACCTTTCTCCAAAGGCCACTGAGGAGGGCAGTGGGGAGCACTGCCACGGTGAGGGGGCTGACAGCAGACACTGTGACAAACCCCCTTCCTGCTCTACATTGACAGGCAGGAGAGCTCTGGAAAGGGGGATGTGGAAGGAGATCACCAGCAGTACTCCCTGGTGGGAGCTAGGCAGGGCTTTCATATTATTGATGAGAAGATAAACCCAGCTCACAATGGGTAAAATGCAAGCTGTCAGCATACAGGCAAAACCAAAACACTGAGAACTAGTTGACCTAGCAAACGCAGGCAGTATTGACTTTCCTCCTATAACCTTTACATGCTGCCAGTATSGTGTATTAAAAATAGATATACGCAGTCCAGGATTCTTGTCAAGCTTGAGGGCAGAATACAGAGGAGTTACAGTAACGAGGCAAAAATCAGCGCTGTGGATACTGTCAGCCTAGTCATGCCCACAGACCATTGAGGCACTGCAGTCCACATTGATTATTGCCAGTACTAACAGTCCTTTAAGGGCTCAGGCCCCTGAAAGCCATCTCCACYAGCAAAGCCTCATCAGAATTAACAKTTTCAGCAGAAACTTGCCATTCAGTCCCTGACAGAAATATCTTGCTCCATCGATTTGGAGAACAGATGCCTATATACACCTGTCTAAGGTTTGGCAGGATGCCTCCAAATGTCCCAACAGGACCTATCAGAACGAAGGTCCCCTGGTTTTTATCTGTATGAGCCCCTGCAGATCACACCCTTGCATGGACTTCAGGGTGCCCCACACTCCTTTCTTGTTTCACAACAACCATGCTCAGTCAGGCCATYTGATACCTGCAAAGCCCTCAAGTGGGCAGGTTTACAGCTCACGGCCCACAGACAGCACTTCCCAGACTGTGAACTGAGTCAATGTTCAGTGTCAGCGTACCCACAACAATATCCATGTGATCCTCACTGTGAGTTTGGTGAGGGTAAGTGGTCAGTGAGAAACAGCAAAGATTTGCTGATTTTAATGGATTCAAAAAGCTTGTGTGACAGCCATAAACTGTATCAATGTAGGAGGACAGTCCATCTATTTCCCAAGCAGCAGCATGCTCTTCCCAGCAGCATGCTCTGAATGAGCATATTAAATGTCAGTATGCTTTGTGGGGATCTTCACAGCTCCCTTCTGCTTGCACAGCAGAATCCTTTCCCATGATAATCCACAATCTGAAAATAACACAAAGAACATCTSGTGCGGGTTGCTAGCAGCACACAGGTTCATGTTTTCATCAAGTAAGCAGGTTAATTTCTGGCAAAGACAGCCAGCTAATCACAGCAGAATCTGTCTTTATGTACAAGCTATCTACACATGCTCCTCACCCCATTAAAACCACTCCACCCTAACATGTCATTTTTCCACCCTAACATGTCATTTTTCCACCCTTGTGTAACTGGACCTGATAGAGTGGCAACCAGCAATATTAATAACATGTGTCAGAATTAACATGCACTAATGTTTCACAAATCTCAATTCTTGGTTAGAGTAAACCTTGACTGATGTTCAGTGAGCAGATTCTGGGGCCTAGACCCTAGTCTGTAAAAGGCTGCTGAGTCTTCCTCCAAGACTTTTAAAAGAGGCCAGAGTCAGGTGATACTGCTGATAGTCTGTAATCTGTCTGAGAAAGCTGAAGTCTCTCCCCACCCCGGATATTGAATGCAGCACTTGTGACTCTTGAGTACTCAAAAATGATAAATGAAAAGGAACACACATTTTTACATTGCTTTAATTTTTTTAATGCTTTCTTTAATGTAATCTTTTAATGCCTTTCATTGCACAATGCAATTACACAAGATTCACTTTAAAAAAATCTTATGAAAATATGGCTCATTTGTTCTTTTGCTACAGAAGTCGGACAGCTCAATCTTGCAGTATTGCAGTGCATTCTTTGGTTCAGCTGTAAGACTTTTATCCCCTGAGCACAGCGACTCCAKAAAGCTTTCTTTACTTAGCTGAATGCTTCTTGACTATCTCAAGGTACTCCTTCACGTCATCAGGAGACCCCAAGACAACAGGCACTCTTTGGTGGATATCCTCAGGCACTATGTCTAGTACTGCTTGATGACCAGTTGTTGCTATTCCCCCAGCCTTCTCAATAACAAAAGCCATAGGATTGCATTCGTAGAGCAGCCTCAGCTAGAAGACAAAAGTGAAAACAGCAGAAGTCAGGCCAGGCAATGCTAAAAATCATAAAGTGCAAATACATGTGGCATTTGATTTTAAACCAATCAGTATCCTAAGTACTCTTTATTTCATAGAAACATTGACTCAATAATGAAATTGTGTGGATTTTTCTTTTAAACAAAACACAGTGAATGCTGGATTTGCCCAATCTGAGTGCTTTCTCCGTAGCTCCTGTTTGCATTGCGCTATTTACACAGAGATAAAGCTTGCATGTTAAGACAYAACAATTATCGAGGCAGACCAGGCAGCGGACTGTGAGAAAAGGAAATAAAACACGAGCTCTGAGCGTGCCACTAGGTTTCTCTAATGAGTAACTGTACCTTATCTGAACCTGAAGCAATAATTTACGGACAATTACAAAACAGATGAAAGGTCTTTGCTGAATAAACAGTCCCCTTGTC